ACCTCATGCTTTAAAGCAAGACCTTTACCTGATTTCTTGTCCCATCGTTTCAGATTGAGCTTGAAAGTTTGTAAATATCCAATCAACTCATCAAATTGCATGGAATCCAGATCAGGACATTCTTCGATGGAGGTCGCCTTTGACATAAATCTCTTGGGTAGTGAGCATAAAATTTTCTTGAAAAGTTCAACATTAGTATAGACTTTACACAAAGCATAACACTCATTATACACATCACAAATTCTGCCATGAAAGTTGGTGCTTGTTTCATCATCATGCATAATCAAATTTTCATAGTCAATAACGAATCTCCTAAACCTAGTTTTCTTAACAATGTATGTTCCTTCATTTTTTTTTTACTTGAAGTTTATTTCATGCACCTTTAACAATCTCACAGTTAGCAATAATTTTCATCTAATTTACACTAACAGCAATAAAGATGTCATAAATGGCTTTTGAGTTAAAATTAGCAAGATTTAATTCAGCCTTAGTCCACTCTTCTGTTGGTTTTGGTTTGATCACCTCTTCTTCAACAACTACGGGTGCTTTCCAACCACTGACAACTGGAATTCATACCCTCCCATCTATAGACTTTCGGAAAGCACGCATCCTAGGCTTCCAATAATGATAGTTGGTTCCTTCCAACATGGGTGGTTTGTTAGTAAACCCTCATTCACTAAATAAGTTCATAATAGACACACTACAGATGTTGACACAAACAAGACAAATGTGGTCACACACACACGTGCAAGGCAAATGTGGACACACACAAAACAAATGTAGACACACACTAAAAACGAGAAGATCAATTCAAAAACACACAAAATCAAACAGATGCAACACAAGCTAAAACAAGGCACAAGCACAATCAAGCATGGATCTACTGAAATAATTCTTCAAAACGTTCTCTGATACCAAAATGAAAGTTTAAGTTTAACCAAGCTCACTAAACTATTGCGAAAAGTGTTGATGTGTTCATTGATGCTTATGGGTATGGTTATTCAGCATAAGCGTCATATCAACCATGAGTATAAAATAAAGCACACAAGCATATTTACATGGTTCAGCTAATAGCCTACATCCATAAGACTAAGTTCGGACGAAGCAAATCTACTATAGCAAACATTCAAAGTTCATTACAAAGTTGAAGTTAAGCAAACAAATGTAAAACACTCCTTGTTTTAACTTCACCATATAGTTAATCCAATGTCTTGCCACAGCTTGCTTTAATCCAAAAAACCTCTTAGATAGCTCGAGCTCCACTCAAGTTTCAATGCTGAAGAAAACCTTCAACTCCACAACTTGAAATCCCTTCAAGCATTCATCAATGGAAACATGTTCCAACACACTCAAACAATCAAGATTAAATAAGTATTTTGAGCATTGAAAAACAACTAAGGAACCTAACCTAAAATGAATAAAACCTCTAAGGATTTTTAGAGAACAACAAAATGAATATTCACGTTCAAACGTAAATGCAAGGATGAAAAAGATTATAAAGAATCCTTGCTCAATAATCTACTAGATAGCCAACTAACAAACTCTTACACATGTTTAGCTATTTAAAGAAAGTTTTCAACAACTTGTTAGAACCACTTCTAAAAAGGCAAAACAAATTTCTAGGACCACATCTGAAATATTTGACACTTGTATTTAGACCACTCACGCATATTTCAGTCCTCAATAAAATCCTAACAACCAATGAAAACTCGACATCTATACTAAGGTCTAACTGGATGACCGTTTACACATTTGACTCTAATGTGTCAACATATATTACGATAAATTAGACTAAGGAAATGTGCACACATCAATGCAGAATAACATGACATGTGTAAACTAAAAATATGATTGTGCTTAACCAAATAGATGTACAAACATTAGAAATGAAAATGTACACACAACTTCATAAGTTGACAAAAATACTTACAATTCTCCTCAACACCAATTGCATTAGATCCTGCTGAATCAACTCAACCACAAGCTTCAACATCATCTAGTTCTCGTGGAGGAAAAAGGTTCAAATCAAAGGTTGTAAGAAGTAAAACTTCCAAAGGAAAAACTCCCACCCAAAGGTCAAGCAACCATTGAAGGTTTGGTTCAAACCTTATGAACAAAGCGGGGGAGTTGATTGCTAATTATAAAGGAGTAGATTGATAATTGATGGGTAGAAAGATTGTCGTTTTTTTTATTTTGGTTAAAAACTATTGCTGATATATTTGAACTGATGTTTTATTTTTGTTTTTGATAATGTTGGTTAAATGTGACTTTAATTGTGCTTGCTGTTTTGTGTTTTCAATTGATGCTTGTTTGAATGTGAAGTGGTTTAAACACTAAGGGGGATTGTGCTTGCTAATGGGGAGTTTATTTTTTTTTATTTTTAGTGAACTGCCTTAGATATCATGAACTGATTTGCATTTTGTTTTGAAGTTCACTTTTGTTCACATATCTCTATGTTTGATAATAATGATGTTTTACATGAGATATGTTTTTGTGTGTGGTTATTTCCGTCGTCTCTATAATTTGTTGTTGGTCTTTGTTTGAGATAGGTTTTTGTTGATCATTTGATCAAGATTGTGCTTTGTTCATAAGTTTGACAAAGGAAAGGATTGTAAGTATTTTTGTCAACTTATAAAGTTGTGTGTGTACTTTCATTTCAGATGTTTGCACATCTATTTGGTTAAGCACAATTATGTGTCTAGTTTAGACATGACATGACATTCTGTATTGATGTGTGCACATTTCCTAGTCTAATTTTATCATAATATATGTGGACACATTAAAGTCAAATATATAAACAGTCATCCAATTAGTCCTTAGTACAGATGTCGAGTTTTCATTACCTATTAGGATTTTATTTATGACTGAAATATGCGTGAATGGTCCAAATATAGGTGTCAAATATTTCAGTTGTGATATTGAAAATTTGTTTTGCTTTTTCAGAAATGATCCTAACAAGTTGTTGAAAACTTTCTTAAATAGCCAAACATGTGTACGGCTTTGCCGGCTGGCTGTCTAGTGGATTGTTGAGCAAGAATTCTTTATAACTTCTTCATCCTTGCATTTACGTTTGAACCTGAATATTCCTCTTGTTGTTCTTTGAAAATTCTTAAAGGTTTTATTCATTTTAAGCCAAGTTCCTTTGTTGTTTTTTAATGCTCAAAATACTTATCTAATCTTGGTTGTTTGTGTGTTGGAACATGATTCCATTGATGAATGTTTGAAGGTTTCAAACTGTGGAGCTAAAGATTGTCTTCGACATTGAAGCTTGAGTAGAACTCAAGCTATCCAAGAGGTTTTTTGGATTCAAGCAAGCTGTGGCAAGACATTGGATTAACTAAAAGGTGAAGTTAAGAGTATTGTGAAAACAGGGAGTGTTTTACATTTGTTTGCTTATCTTCAACTTTGTAATGAACTTTGAATGTTTGCTATAGTGGATTTGCTTCATCTAGATTTAGTCCCATGGACATAGGTTGTTAGCTGAACCATATAAATATGCTTGTGTGTTTATTTTATGCTCATGATTGATATGATGATTATGTTGAATAACCGTACCCACAAGCACCAATGAACACAATCAACACTTTCTGCCATAGTTTTAATGAACTTGGTTAAACATAAATTTTAAGTTTACATTTTGTTGTTGATTGTTGATTCTAATAACATTACTATTACTACTACTATCATCTCGTCTACTTCTATATCCTAGTCTCCTTAAGAAATTAGACATTTCTAAAATAATTCTAACTTGTAAGTTCTAGTTTTTCTTAGAACACAAGACCACCTAACACGTCTGACCAAGCGCACCTTCCAAGCTGACCAAGCATAATCTAGAAATGATCCTAGAGTTCTTCTAGATTAAAAGCTTTTAGATTTATCTAATTCTTAGTTCACTTAAGGAAACAAGTGTCACAGGTGAACAATAATATGAACACTAAGTTGCTCTAGTAATATGCACAACACTTGCTACAATGAATCTAAAATAGTGTATTATTTCGACAACAACTTGACTCTGATACCATAATGGGGCAAGATCATAAAAATGATGATAAAATGCTTATATGAAGATAAAATATGAAGAAGTTATATATATATATATATATATATATATATAAAAGTAACCTGACATTCGATTTAGCTTCCTTTATGCGTTCAAAGTTGCACCACATTACAACACAGACCATGAGAAACTTATATGCTCTATCACCAACTCAATGGCAATCAAGAAATTGAAGAAAATGTTGAAACAAATTGACATGGAAAGCAAGGCACAACCAAACACAAAATGAAAATGTAAGCTCACCAAGGAAAGAAATCAAAGAATAAAACAACAAAAGAGAGAAAGGAAAAGAGATTATTCCCACATAGAAAAAAGAAACATTAAATACGAAAACAAAAAAGTTGATAAGTTAAAAACTTTACCAGAGCAAGTTTTGTTTTCCTAGGACCTCCCTTTCTAAGGATGGATATAGATTACAAAGTGCTATATGAATGTAGCAGGTTTTCACCCGGCCATGGTGGTGCAGAGATGAAGTACAAATCAATCAGCATTTTCAAAGTGCAGCTACATAATACCCTTAAAATCACAGGGAGGAGTTCATCGTCTTTCAGAAAACCATGAATGTCCCTTAAAATCACATGGACATTCATGCTTTTACAAAAGATAGTGAACTCCAAAAAAATATCCTCACACTTAGGCTTAAATCTCATCCCTCTAACTTAATTTCTTTTTGCACCTTAAACACCTCAAAGCTTTACTCTGCGCAACTAGATTACTCCCTAAACAGATAGTTAAGAGTGGAAGTACTGTCAATGAACCCTCATCTTTCTAACTTAAACCCAATCATTTCTTTTTATATCGATATTAATTCAGGAACTGTAAGTGACAAATCTTTCATTTTGATCGACTTGGCTAGACCATTTCTTTTAATAATGACTATCAGTTTAGAAATAGTAATTAACAAACTCCCTATTATGAGGAAATCATGCGGCATTTCACTTTACTTTGTTGACTTTGAATTGAAAGAGTCCTCCATTTTTGCTTTTGCTATGGCAGCTTGTTCCTCCACAAGACGATCCTCAAAACACTTGGTACAGAAGTTCAAGTTGGCTGCTGGAACAGAGGAACCACAATTATTAGCGCACAGCTTTGGCTCGGATGCAAACTTCGATAAAAGTAAGAAGCCCTTGAGCACATATAAAATTCACTTTTCCACCGAGTTAAAAAATGTTTTACGTGAATGCTAACTTCAATCAAAGATGAACGAATGCATCAAATAGAGTTACCAAAATATCGTTTAAGGGTGAAGGCTTTAAATGAAAAGCAAAGCGAAAGATTCATATATATATATATAAGAAACTGATCAATATAGTAAAACTAAAAGAGTACCTCCTCTTGAGTTAAAAAAACTCAAAACATATTTTCTAGAAACGGCTGAATTTGAGTTACAATGCCTCAGTAACAATATTTCGTGCTGCACAGTCCAAACTAATTTGCATCCCTTCAGTAACTACAACCAAAACAGATACTTATAGAACTGACAAGGATACCATGAAAGAAAGTAAAGTAACATTTCAACAATCCACAACAAACTCAAAGGCACAGCCAAGGAACACCAAGGTACAAGCATTTTGTCCGCAGTTTACAATATTAACAAAGCAAAACAAGCTAATATTTTCAATAAAAGAAGCAACACCATGATCCTAAGAAGATATTGAAGTTAAATTATAACAAAACAGTCAATGAGAAATGAGATCCAAAGGGTAACAACCAAAGAATAGAATTTTAGTAAATAGATTAAACACAACTCTAATATATATAATACAATTCAACTCAAACTTGAGGACAAAATCAAGAAAAAAAAGAGTTCCAAGCACAAAGATACAACCCACAAGCATTTACTCCATACAATAAATCATGGCGCAACTCAAACAGCCACCACCAAACAAAACAAGTCAGAGAAGGCAAAATAAAACTACCAAAACAAATACCCACATGAACAAAAACAAAAATTGAAAAGTTTTTGTATAATTACCATAAGAATAATTGTTTCCCCAATATCCCCGTCCCAAAAATGGAAAAGAAGTGTTCGATTGATGAAGGAATCTACGAAGGTTTGGACCTGGCCATTTGGAGCAAAGTTGAACCACTGCAAATCCATCACCATTTTCACTGAAGCTATGAATCAGGTCTCTTCATTATTTGTAATCTTCTGTTTACTCAGTGATATAAAGTGTGTCGGTGGGGGTCGGTAAAGGAAAAGTCGAAAACTAACAGATGTCAAATATGTTATAGCTTGTAGCATAGCAGCGAAGATTTTCCGCCACCCTAAAGAGTTTACGACAATTACTCCTCAAAGTCTGGAGGAAGTAAGAAGCCACCCAAAATTTTTACAAACATTTGTACTATGCCACATATTTGTCTTTTTATTATATCATTTTTAATTTTTATTTATTCTATTTTATTTTAATTATGATACGTACAGACCGAAATAAGAGTTGGGGAAGGAGAAAATGAGTTTTGGATATGATATTTAGGTTTTATTTTAATTAATACTTTAACCAATGTTCTGAAAACCAAACCAGACCGTCCGATCGAATTGGTTCGATCGGGAGCTGGCGGCATCTCCGGTCCAGTGTCCTCTAAAAATCGATATTTTTAATCAAACCGGATTGAGCGGCGGTTGGACCGTCGGAATAGTGCCGAATCGCGGTCTAATCGCAACTCAATCCCATCGGATTCTAACATCGTTCGAGGGAGAAAACACCACCATTAGACTTAACAGCATCTCCACGACAAAACCCATCCATTTTCAGTGGTCGTCATCCAGCCTTTCATCGCTCACCATCCACCTATAGTTCACGCGACCGTCAGACTTCCTTCTTGATTCTGGCAAATTCCGGTGCCAGCAGAACTCCCTAACACCACCATAAGATTCGCTGGCACCTATACATCAAAAGCCACATGATTCCAAACTTCAATTGGCCGTCGATCATCGCTGCTGCCACTACTTACCAGTCTCTTCGTGTGACAAGGGTGTTTTGGATAGATTTCAAACCTTAAGGGAGTATTATAAGGATGTTTTGATGAATTTCAAACATTTAGAGACTAAAATGTAATTTTATAAGATACGGTCTAACCGACCGATCCAATCGGTCAAACCAAAAACTGGACCCTTGAACGGGTCATAGTCTGATCTGATTTTCAGAACATTGACTTTAACATAATAAATTAGATTAAATACTTAAAATAAAATTTAAATAAAATAAAATGGGAGGAAGTATAATAAGACAAAGCGTATTAAAGTGTTTTGAAACAAAGTTTTCAAGTTCTATTAACTTTTTGGATGTATTTGTGACTTTCCTAAACTCTTAAGTAAGCTTGTACTTTCCTCGGCAGGAGAAAATTCACTCCCTCCCATCCAAAATATCTAGAGACCGGCATATGCATGGCACAGTACGGCACGAAAAAAACACGGCATGACAAGATATGGTAAAAAAAAAAAAAACACAGCACCACATGGCACAAAAATATGCAAATCGTGTCATGAGCCTAAAAAAAGGCACGTGGACCGATATGGTACGGCACAAAAAAAATATAAATTATAAATTATAAAAATTAAAAAATAATTAATAAAATTATAAGAATGCAGAAATAGATGAAAATGAAGATGTATAATAATTCTTAATCTTAATTTCTAAGTTTGTATTTGTAATTTATAATTATAACTTATAAGTAATAAAAAGTGTTAAAATTAAATTAATATTTCAATGTCTCATTATTTTATTATATTTCATAGTGATTATATTTTTTTAATTAATATAAATACAAAATGTCACTAAATATAACATATAAAATATTTTTTATAATAATTATTAATAATAAATCAAAATTACCATATTTATAAATATTAAAATTAAATATTTTTACAAAGCACATGGGCCGCCCCACGACACGATATATAACGGGTCATCCTATATCATGTCGTGCCGTGGGTCTTCAAATTTGGTGGGCCTGCTCGGCACAACAGGGCACAAATTTTTGCAGGCCTTGACACAACACGGCCCACGACATGATGGACCTTGAATTTTTAGGCACGGCATGACATGATCCACCGCCACCTCTAAAAATATCTAAGAGAAGTTTTTGTCCCAAGTTTGTGATTTAAGTCATATGTACTAAATTTAAGTTACGAAATAACATAATCAATTCTAATATTTGATATATCGTAAGAAGATTATGGACTAAGAGTCTGAAAAAAAAAAATCCATCAAGCAATATATATATATATATATTATTGTAGTGTTGGTTCTTGCATAAAACATAGATTTCCTTTACTATATCATCATCATGTGATTCAAGAGTTGCTTTTTATTCTCAATTTTTTTTTCTTGTTAAGTTATACTTGAATTTGGAAAAGGTATATTTTTCTGTCTTTTTCCCATATTCTTTTTATTAATTTTTCTTAAGTTAAATTATTGGACATTAATTTGATATAAAATATTATATATAATTGAGTTAAAAAATTTTAAGTGATATTATTTTTGGATATTTTTGCCCCTCAATCCAATTCATGGCTCCACCACTAACTGAGAAAAAAAATGATATGCTGTGTATGCACATGAAACTCATGGTGTGAATGTATATGATTAACAACAAAGTTACGGACACCGAAAAATTTACACCGAAAATGTGTATCAAGCGCCTAATTTTTTTATAAATTTTTTTCTAGTAAACGGCTATCCATCAAATTTGGACGGCCGTTCACTCACATGGACCCCCGTCCATAAGTAAAATGGAATAAATTTTTTTTATAAAAATTAAGGACGGTCGTTCATCCATTATGGACGATCGTCCCTTTATTTTAGACGGACGCCCACAAATAAGGGATGCCCGTCCTTAACCAAAATATGAAAATTAAAAAAAAAAAAAAGTTTGGGGACGGCCGTCCATAAATTTTGGACGGCCGTCCCTTACGTTTGGACGGGCGTCCATTAGGAATAGATGCCAGTCCCTTAAGTTTGGACGGGCATCCATTATGTCCATTAGGAATGGATGCCCGTCCATACTTAAAAAAAAAAAAAACACCTTTCTTTGCTCTTCTTCTTCTTCTTCTTCGCCAAGCCAAAAACCACAGCAACATCTCTCAAATCTTACTGGAAGACGAGCCAATGCTGTTTCCTGGTCACCGGCTGGACGTTTCATTGTCCTCGCAGAATTGAGTGGTTCCAGTGGACAACTAGAATTTTATGATGTTGATGACATTCAGACCAGAACTATGACTGAACATTACATGTTGACAAATATCGAATGGGATTCTACTGGACGGTAAATTTCTACACATAAATGCTGATCCAAAATTTCTACACATGGATGCAATAGAGAATGGCTTCAACATATGGACCTTTTATGGCAAGCTACTATACTACATGCCCATGGATGATTTATCACAGGTACTATTAGTTGTTAAACAATCTTCACCGATGCAATTGACGTTTGACCGTGCTTCCAGCCTAAACTCTTCACCATTGCTTTGCCAGTACATTTTGCAATTACTAACATTGAACAGACTTTTCTGCCTTAACTTTTCTTTGCCTGGAATTTTAACGAGACTTACCTGTCAATCGAGAAAGTAACAGAAATCCCATGGTGCTGCAGGGAAGAAATCCCAGTACTAATGGAATCAGTGGCAACAACCAAGATATTAGCTAGAGGTCTCACTCTCAGCTACCGGCAAAAGGGTTTTTACGTTTCATTATGGAGGCTTTCAAAGACGCTACCGGCAACAGTCGATCAATAGTTACAGTCGTGAAGGACATCTCAAGTGAAGGACTTGTCAAGTGATTTGCAGGTAAGTTAGTGCTTGCTTTTGTGTACCATGGAAATCAGTTTTACTACCATTGGACTCCTTCTTTCCATTCACATGATCTTTTAATTTCCCAGTGAAAAAATGAACCAAAAGATATAAAAGAACCAAGAAAGCCGCTGAGAGACCTACTCTTCCAATGCAGGAGCTTCATTTGTCAACCCGAGCTTGTAATGGAGTTCTTTCGTTGGATTCAGCGCCTATAACGAAATTGCTAAGCGCAAAAACCGTTACAGTCAAAAGGAGAGCTATAAAAATACTGCCACCTTCATACCAACCTTCTTCCAACCCGTGTTTTTTGATCCCAAAACTGAGAGACGCTGCAGACCATACGAGAAGGCAAGCTACGGTGGCGTCTTTAACTGCAGCGAAGAAGAAGATGGTGGTGAGTTTGCCCCTGCTGCGCCTCCTCCTTTTAAATTATCTGATATTAGAGCGGCTATTCCTAAGCATTGTTGGGTTAAGAATCCATGGAGATCAATGAGCTATGTTGTGAGAGATGTTGCTATGGTTTTTGGCTTGGCGAAGAAGAAGAAGAAGAAGAAGAGCGAAGAAAGGTGTTTTTTTTTTTTTTTTTAAAAGTATGGACGGACGTCCCCAAATTTTTTATTTTTTTTTATTTTCATATTTTGGTTAAGGACGGGCGTCCCTTATTTGTGGACGCCAGTCCAAAATGAAGGGACGGTCGTCCATAATGAATGAACAGCCGTCCCTAATTTTTATAAAAAAAAATTATTCCATTTTACTTATGGACAGACGTCCTTTAAATGGGGACGCCCGCCCCTGATATATGGACGCTCGTCCATATAATATGGACGGGGGTCCATGTGAGTAAACGGTCGTCCAAATTTGATGGACGGCCGTTCACTAGAAAAAAATTGATAAAAAAATCAGGCGCTTGATACACATAGACCGGTACACATTTTCGGTGCAAATTTTTTTATGTCCATAGCTTTGTTGTATGATTAATTATTGTTAATTTTTTCTAGCATATTGATGCCATGAATGTCATCCAATGTTTTTAAACCCGACCAAGGCATTGACCTGATCAAGGGCTGAGGTCCCAATTGACCGGTTTGACCGGTTGGTCTGATTAGTGTGCAGCAAATACATCTTTGAAAAATTTTATTAGTCCCTGCAAGTTTGAAATTTATAAACACACCCCTAAAATTTCCATCAGACCCAATAGGTTTGAAATAAAGCAAACACACCCTTGCAGCATCTAAACTTCTTTTTTCTCTTTCTCTTTGTCACCTTCCCCTCTCTCTTATGTAACTTTCTTCTCTCCTCTTCTCTTTCTTCTCCCTTCCTCTACTCTTCTTCCTTCCTCTTTTCTTTTTCTCCCCCTTTTTCTCGTCGTCTCCTCTTTGGGTCTGATTTATATTTTATTGAATTTGAAATTTATTCTGGTAGAATTCTCAGCTAGGATTTATGAAAGG